GTGGCTCAAGCTTGTGTCAATGTCCGAACTCTGAAAGACGGGCCCTCCGCGCCTTTGGAAAAAGTGGTGCCTTGCTTCTTTTCTTCTCGCGCGCCCCTCGCGCGAACCTCAAGCAAGCTTGTGCACAAACGGCAGCGGAGTGAGGCAATAACGATTCGAATCAACAGGAAGCGTTCCTGGAGCCGGCGTGTGCGTTGCTACGCCCAGGCGCGCGCCCGCCCGACTGGAAGGACCCCCCCAGGGCCAGCAGAGGCGGCGGCATACCTGGCGCGCGAACGTTGTCGGACGGGGCCAGCTCAGACTGTGCACGCCCCGGTGTGCCACCCCCTTTGCCGGCCCGGGGCCGGGGCCGGCAAAGGGGTTACCACGTTGTTGTTGCTGCTGCTGTTTCTGTTGTTGTCTGTTGATATATACGTAGCACCCCGCAATTGCGGATAAGAGTGATGGGGGCGGGCGTGGGGTGGGTCGCGGGTGGGTCGTGGGGTGGGTCGCGGGGTGGGTCGCGGGTGGGTCGCGGGGTAGGTCGTGGGTAGGTCGCAAATGGGTCGCGCGGGTGGGTCGCGGGGTGGGTCGTGGGTGGGTCGCGGGGTGGGTCGCGGGTGGGTCGCGGGTGGGCCGCGGGCGGGTCGCGGAGCGGGGGGGGGGACGACGCAACAAAACATCAACAACAACAACAATAACAACAACAACAACAACAACAGCAGCAACAACAACAACAACAACAACACCAACACCAACACCAACAACAACAACAACAACAACAACAACAACACCAACAACACCAACAACAACAACAACAAACCAACAACACAACAACAACAAAACAACAACAACAATCCTCGCCTTGGATCCCCACTTCAGCCACGCACCCAGGGATAGTGAATGACCGTTCGGGCCCCCTCACTCTGATATATATATATATGTACATATATATATATATATATATCTATGTATATGTATATGAATGACCGTTTGGGCCCCCTCACTCTGATATAATATATATCTATATATATATGTATATATATGTGTGTATGTGTGCATATATATATATATATATATATATATATATATATATATATATATATATCATAGTGAGGGGGCCCGAACGGTCATTCACTGTCCCTGGGTGCGTGGCTGAAGTGGGATTCCGCGGTGCGGATTCGTGTTGTTGTTGTTGTTGTTGTTGTTGTTGTTGTTGTTGTTGTTGTTGTTGTTGCTTGTTGTTGTTGAACATTATTACTTCTAAAGAATAATTATTGTTGGGGCCCCTGGTGCGCGACACCCCCGCCGCGCCTAGGCCGCAGCCTCATTTTCATCATTTTCGTGAGGAAGTCTCAGGCAAAACGGGTTGGTCCGGATCCGGTTGTTTTGTTACGATCGGTTTTCCCTTGCAAAAAATAAACTAAAGTGGACATTTCTTGTTCTAACATAACCAAACTTCAAGAATCCCTTGCAAAAAATAAGGTAAAGTGGACATTCGCGCGCGCAAGACGAAATCCTTCCAAAACCTTAGTGTTCGCAGCGATTTTAACATAAAAACATCAAAAAACCAATGGTTTTTCAACAAAAAATTGTCAAAATTCATCCCGCGCGCTCTTGCGGATTCGTAGGAAACCCAACACTTTTTAAACATTTCTGTCAAACGGGCTTTTGCGAGCAACTTTTTCGAACTTCTGCGACAACGGTTGCGCACCTGCCAGGGCCATCATCCCTGTCAAATAATACCATGCGGGACACATTCGTTTTTTCTTCGCGCGCGCACGCCGTCGTCGTCGGCCGCGGGGCCCTGAATAGTAGCCACGGTCGTCCGCATGCCACGAAGTGAAGTGTCCGAACGTCATAGGGCGGGAAGCTGGGTGTGGGTGGTGGCGAAGAGTCGTTTGGAAATTTGGTAGAGCTTGAACCGGCCCCCCCACAAAGTGGGGGTATTGCCCGCCTCCTATGAAAACCCTGGCACTGGTGAGAACGGTGTGTCCCCACGTGCTAGTAATTGTTGTTGTTGTTGAACATTATTTATTCTAAAGAATAATTATTGTTGGGGCCCCTGGTGCGCGGCCCCCTCGCCGCGCCTAGGCCGCAGCCACATTTTCATCATTTTCGTGAGGAAGTCTCAGGCAAAACGGGGTGTCCGGATCCGGTTGTTTTGTTAATCGGTTTTCCCTTGCAAAAAATAAGCTAAAGTGGACATTTCTTGTTCTAACATAACCAAACTTCAAGAATCCCTTGCAAAAAATAAGGTAAAGTGGACATTCGCGCGCGCAAGACGAAATCCTTCCAAAACCTTAGTGTTCGTAGCGATTTTAACATAAAAACATCAAAAAACCAATGGTTTTTCAACAAAAAATTGTCAAAATTTCATCCCGCGCGCTCTTGCGGATTCGTAGGAAACCCAACACTTTTTAAACATTTCTGTCAAACGGGCTTTTGCGAGCAACTTTTTCGAACTTCTGCAACAACGGTTGCGCACCTGCCAGGGCCATCATCCCTGTCAAATAATACCATGCGGGACACATTCGTTTTTTCTTCGCGCGCGCACGCCGTCGTCGTCGGCCGCGGGGCCCTGAATAGTAGCCACGGTCGTCCGCATGCCACGAAGTGAAGTGTCCGAACGTCATAGGGCGGGAAGCTGGGTGTGGGTGGTGGCGAAGAGTCGTTTGGAAATTTGGTAGAGCTTGAACCGGCCCCCCCACAAAGTGGGGGTATTGCCCGCCTCCTATGAAAACCCTGGCACTGGTGAGAACGGAGTGTCCCCACGTGCTAGTAATTGTTGTTGTTGTTGTTGTTGTTGTTGTTGTTTGTTGTTGTCGTCGTCCCACCCGCAACCCGCCCCGCGACCCACCCGCGACCCACCCCGCGACCCACCCGCGACCCACCCGCGACCCACCCGCGACCCACCCCGCGACCCACCCCGCGACCCACCCCGCGACCCACCCCGCGACCCACCCCGCGACCCACCCGCGATCGACCACCCCGCGACCCACCCGCGACCCACCCGCGACCCACCCGCGACCCACCCGCGACCCACCCGCGACCCACCCCGCGACCCGCGACCGCGGCCCCACCCCGCGACCCACCCGCGACCCACCCGCGACCCACCCGCGACCCACCCGCGACTCACCCCGCGACCCACCCGCGACCCACCTTCGACCCAAACCACGTTCAAGGTACAAACCAACATTTTCGGCGCCTGCGGCGGGCTTTTTTTGCATTCCTTCCAGGTGGAGAGCCCGCGACCCACCCCGCGACCAACCCGCGACCCAAACCACGTTCAGGGTACAAACCACATTTTTCGGCGCCTGCGGCGGGCATCTTTTGCATTCGTTCTAGGTGGAGAGACCGCGGCCCACCCGCGACCACGTTCAGGGTACAAACCAATTTTTCGGCGCCTGCGGCGGGCATCTTTTGCATTCGTTCCCGGTGGAGAACCCGCGGCCCACCCGCGACCCAAACCACGTTCAGTGTAAAAACCATTTTTTTTGGAGCCTGCGGCGGGCTGCTTTTGCAGTAGGACGAGGAGGAGGAAGGAGGAGGAGGAGGAGGAGGAGGAGGAGGAGGAGGAGGAGGAGGAGGAGGAGGAGGAGGATGAGAGGGAGGAGGACGGAACGACGACGACGTCGACGACGACGACGACAACGAAAAGGAGGAGGGGGGAGGATCGGGAGGGGGGAAGAGGAGGAGGACGACGAGGAGGAACATGACGACAATGGGAGGACGATGATGGAAGGTCGAGGGGGGAGAGGGAGGACGAGGAAGAAGAGGAGGAGCAGGAGGAGGAGGAGGAGGAGGAGGAGGAGGAGGAGGACGAGGTGGAGGAGGAGGACGACGATGACGATGAGGACGAGGACGAGGACGAGGAAGAGGAGGAGGAGTAGGAGGCGGAGGAGGAGGAGGAGAGGAGGAGGAGGAGGAGGAGGAGGAGGAGGAGAGCGCCATCGACAAGGAAGGTGGGGGCCACGAGGTCCGCCGGCTTGACGACGCCCGCGTCGCCCGCGCCCGCCCCCTCACTCTTATCCGCAATTGCGGGGTGCTACGTATATATGTATCTATGTTTATGTATGTATGTAAATGTATATACGTATGTATATATACACATTTACATACATAGCAGTCTGCATATGTGTAAACATATATACCTATAACAGCGGGAGAGAGAGAGAGAGAGAGAGAGAGAGAGAGAGACGGAGAGAGAAAGAGAGAGAGAGGGAGAGAGACAGACAGTCAGTCAGTCAATCAGACAGACTGACAGACAGACAGGCAGGCAGAAAGGCATACAGACGGCCAGACAGAAGCCGTGCTCGTCGGAGCTGCATTTGCAAGAAGGTGAAAAGGATGTGATTGGGTGAAACAATGAGCGGGCTAAGGATGGCATGGCCACAGGGGAGGAGGAGAAGGATGATGATGATGAGGAGGAGGAGGAGGAAGAGGAGGAAGAGGATGAGGAGCGGGAGGAGGAGGAGGAGGAGGAGGAGGAGGAGGAGGACGAGGTGGAGGAGGAGGAGGAGGAAGAGGAGGAGGAGGATGAGGAGGAACGAGGGGGAAGAAAAACACGAAGGGCGTGTTGTCGCGCCATCCTGGCGCCCTCTGGGGCCGCTTCCAGGCCCTCGGGGCTCATGGAAGTCGACCCGCGGCGAAGTGGAAGCGGGGGCGCAAGGCCCCAGGCGGAGGGAGAGGGGCGAAGGGAAGAGGACAAGATCACTCAGCACAGAATCGGGAACTCGGACCGAACCGAACTGTGCGTTGGATCGGGCAACATCGGCACGGAAGCGACATCGAATCGGAGCGGCCGCGCCAGAACGCACAACAAACGCCGTGCAAACATCAAGCCGCATTGGATCGCTGTGAGATCGAAGTCGGCATCGGACCGGTCAATCGTAGTCGAAATCGAATCGGTCGACAGCAACAAAGTCGAAGTCGAACCGGATAGAGCCGGGTGAACTCGGCATCGAATCGAGCCGATCGAACCGAAGCGGGTCCCTGGAAGAGGGCGCAGAGGCGGGCACCTGCCGTCACTCCCAGTGTACCTGCCAGGCCCCTGCATGCGGTTCCGCACCCAGGAGCCCTCGTACCGCGAGAGGTCCGGCCAGACGTAGGTGCCATGGCCGTGCTTCTTGCCACCGCGGAACTGCCCCTCGAACCTGCGCGAGGAGATTAAGCTGGGGGAGGACATGGACGATACATGATATCAAGAAGGCTCTGCAAGATATTCGGGCCCTAAGACTTCTCGGGGTCTCAATACCCTCGCCAATGAAGCACTCATTATAGCTAGGCTGAGCTGTCGATTTCGACGGAGACACTTATGCGAGCAATAGCAATGCTTTGCCTCGCTTCCCACTGGCCGTAATCGGCTACATGATCTGTCGGCAGATTCTGCGGCGCCCCATGCGAGGGCCATCAGGCGTGGATGCAAAGTTTTCCATGTGTCAATATTAAAGCCCCGAGGGGCTAGCAAGGCATGGCCTCCTTCCTGGAGTTGTTCGGACTGTTTCTTGATAGTCCACATTGTCTGTATGGTTAGCTGATAGAAAAAAGAGACGACAATCATGAATTATATGCTCTGGTGTTTTGTGTCTCTGGGTAGCGCCCACAGCACGCTACCCAAATTCGTAGTACTAGCGCCTTCGCCCCATTACTTGAAAAGAAATGGAGCAAATAAGAACAAATATAGATATGAACATGGGAACATAATCCGGCACTCGTTTTACGGAAGGAATCGGCACCCCTGGCGCGAGAACGGCCCTCACGATTCGCGGTGAGACCAAAACTGCGTACGCTCTGTTTTCCTACGAACGTTATTCTGCCCAACCATCCGCTATCGGCGTGGTACGCCCGAGCGAACTAGCTCGCCAAAGCATTGCCGTAGCCCTCAACACATGATGTAGAAGTTCAGATTGAAGGTCTTCTCAGAAACGCCTGGTCATGTCGTGGCAGACATCCCTGACAATCCGACCGATCCTTCTCTTTCGTTGCACCAGGCGGAAATCGCCTGGCACTCATAACGCGTGTAGACTCACAGGGAAACAACATCGTTGTACGGAGCTCTTGGGCTGTGTCCCGAGACAAAAACCGACCCAATCCATGTTGAACCACACGCCCACATCCTTGTAGCACCCGTCCTGAGGTGCACCAAAGCTTCCGTCTGTCCCTGGAACCATCGGAGGATGATCACCTTCCGTGTGGCACATGCTGGCAGGCCGCTTCCTTGTGTGATGTGCCTTCTGTCGGAAACAGGGGGGTGAGATCGAAGAGATGCGGAAATCGCCTTACCGCAAGATCGGTTTCGGTTTCGGTTGCGTGTTCGTGTCGTGCGTGCGGGCGAGGCGAAGCTGAGTGGGCGAGAGGAAAGAACCCTCCTCTGGCTAGCGCGCCGCCAGGCCAAAAAACCGCCCTTCCCCCCCGGATGGTCGGCGGTGGCCAAAGATGTCCCGTGGTGTCCCGTGGTGTCCCGTAGTGTCCCGCGGTGTCCCTCTGGTGTCCCGGAAGTGCCTCGATGGTGTTCCAATGGTGTCCTGATGGTGTCCCGATGGTGTCCCGTGGTGTCCCGTCGTGTCCCGCGGAGTCCCGATTGTGTATTGGTGGTGTCCCCATGGTGTCCCTATGGTGTTCCGGTACTGTCCCGACGGTGTCCTGGTGGGGTCCCGATTTATGTTCCGATTGGTGTCCCGATGGTATCCCGATGGTGTCCCGATGGTGTCCCGATGGTGTCCCAGTGGTGTCCTGATGGTGTCCCCGTAAGGTCCCGATGGTGTCCCGGTGGGTGTCCCGATTGATGTCCCGATGGTGTCCCGATGGTGTCCCGATTGTGACTACCAAGTTCATCGCCACCATCATCACCATCACCTTGACCCAATGGTGTGGGTATTGCGTTCGGAGAAAATCTCGCGGACACATCACCAGCATCGTCAAGGACCGAACGTCCGACGATGAATGGATTCCGCTAAGTGCCACTGATTGCCAATCTCAGGAAGTCACCTGAGCCCCTCGTTTTCATTTATTTGCGTTAAGTCTTTGCTAGGGTGACGCTCGTCAGACCGAGCGATATCACAGTGCCAGCTTATTGCTAGGATACTCCCTCGTGCCTTCTAGGTAGAGATCTGCCAGCATCACTCCACCAACAGTCTCGTGCGACCAATGATCATCGCGCACCCGTGTCGCCAAATGGTCGTTCGTCACATCGCCCCTTCCGCAGGACTTGGAGCGACCTCCTCCTCCTCCTCCTCCTCCTCCTCCTCCTTGTCGTCATCTTACTCTTCGTCTTCATTATAGTCTGCCTCTTCATGTCTTTGAACGGCTCTCAACGCTGGCTTCCGCTCCGATTTACCTCTTCCCTCTGCCCATGCAGGAACAAGAACAACCGACCGAAACAAAGAACGAGGATGGACCAACAAAACTGCGCGCGCCAGAGCGACTCTCTGCTCCTTTCCTGAACTCCTGCTGCCCCGCCCGGAGCTCCTCCCTGCGCCAAGTCCCTCCTCCTCCTCCTCCTCCTCCTCCTCCTCCGTT